TATTCTACGGATTCAGATGTATGTTATTTATATCCATTGTACATATAAGAGAAATCCTCTTAATGATAAGTAAATATAATAGTAAGAATGCAGTAAATAAATGTGACTCACAGTGTATTATAAGACAATTAGTTTCTCTTTAAGTACATAAATTTGAAAAGCATGACTGCTCATAATAGTGTAGTTAATGAAATTGAGACAGACATTGAGTCACAATATCATTAGATTGTTTTATCGGTATATGTAACATATGAATATAAGTTCTATCTAAAATTTAAAAGTATCAAAATATTGTGAAGTGCATGGACGATGTAATGTTAATCAAGATGGAGGGAACAATACATATGTTTAGTCTAGGAGGTTAGTCTATCCTAATTCATCATGTGAAAAACTAGAATCATACAAATATGGATTTGTACAATCGATCTAGCATTAATATATCTATTTTAACTTACACTTTATTTTTTACAGAGACATTTAATGTTGATACCATCGACAGGAGTTAATATCTAATATGGTCACTCAACTAATACCTTTTTTCACAGAAAGTCACTCAACTTTCATTTATAACTTCAAAGTCACTCAACTATGGATTTTTCTCACAGAAAGTCACTCAACTAATTGTTTTTTTCTTAGAAAGTCACTCAACTTTTTTTTATAACTTCAAAGTCACTAAACTATGAATATTTTACCTACAAAGTCACTCAACTATTGATATTTCATTTAGAAAGTCACCCAACCCATTTTAATATGTTTTCATTAAAATTTTGTTGAAAAATAATTTTTTTTAAATAATAATAAGATGCTCATTTTAATTATTTTATTAAATTTATTAAAACATAATTTTGCTTTTAAACTAATTTCTTAAAAAATAATAAGATTATCATTTAATTATTTTATTAAATTTATTGAAACACAATTTTTGTTTTAAACTACTTTCTTAACAAATAAGTAGTAAGATACTCATTTTAATTATTTTTTTTAATTTTGTTTAAATACCAATTTATTAAAACGATTCTTTTAATAAAAACTGTTATGCAACCCGGCACCAGCACTAGTAACGGTGGATGCAATGCAATGCATCATTTTCGATTAAAAAATGCTACCGTGTAAATCTTATTATTTTTGTATTAGGTTCACAATAGTTATTATTTCTTTAAAAATTAGTTTAAATAAAAATTGTATCTCAACAAAATTTAATAAAATAATTCAAATGAATATTTAGTTTTTTTAAAAATAATTTAAATCAAAATAGTATTTCAATAAAATTTAATAAAATGATTAAAATGCGTATCTTCTTCTATTTTCTAAAAAAATTGTTTCAAAAAAATTTAATAAGAAAATTAAATGAGCATCTAATTATTATTTTTTATTAAAATTAGTTTAAAACAAAAATTGTATTTTAACAAAATTTAATGAAAACATATTTAAATTGGTTGGGTGACTTTCTAAATGAAATATCAATAGTTGAGTGACTTTGAAGTTATAAAAGAAAGTTGAGTGACTCTCTATGAAAAGAATTATTAGTTGAGTGACTTTCTGTGAAAAAAATCTATAGTTGAGTGACTTTGAGGTTATAAATGAAAGTTGAGTGACTTTCCGTTAAAAGAAGTATAAGTTGAGTGACCATATGAGATATTAACTCCCATCGACAGTATAGCATATGGTAGATGCTAGAATAGATGAATGAAAATTGATTGCAATCTGACGTCAAATATCTTCTTTGAATAACTATCTGTAATCATTGAAAATACATCATTAACATGAAATTATACCTCAAACTGTAAATTTTGAAACTCTAAAGTAACCCTAAAAATTGATTTTGTTTAAGTAAATTTTATACAAAACTTTAATAGTTTAAATATTTAAGCTAGTTTCAAACGATCACAACATCAATTTTAATTGATCACGGTGATCATTAAGGAATGAAGTCATTGTTCTAGAGTTAGCTCAACAAAGTTTGGCTTAAGTCATCGACCGCCCCTTAAAGTTGTCCGCATAATTCACTTAGACACCTCAACTAAGACTTGTACCTATTGAACACCTAAATTGTTCAAAACATGTACCTATTAAACACAAAACGCTGATATGGCAAAAAATGTGTTTTGCACCTCCCTGAAGCGCGTGAAAAGATTCAAATAGTGTCTTTTTTGATTATTTTTTTTGCATTTTTTCTTCTTTTATTGACACTTGACATTATAATTAACTTAAAAACATTTTTCTTCTTTCATTTACACTTTTTTCAAAAAAGAAAAGCACCCCACCCCCTACCAGTCATCTTCTTCATAATTTAATTTGCAAAACTTTCTCCACTTTAGCTCCAACATTGTTTTTATTTCTTTTTTTATATATAAAAAAAGAATATTATTTCTTCCAAATATGAAGATAAATGAAAATCAACTATGAAGAAATCATACGATTCACATTTGAAAGAAAGACTTTTTTTGTATGATTTATTTCAAATCTCATAAAAATAATGGAACAAATATGAAGAAGAAGAAACAAGATAAATAACTTTACATATAAAAAAAGTTAGCCGATATTTGTTTATCACAATTTTCGAACAATATTTTTACTCAAAGTCATATATAAATCCATTAAATTTATCAAAAATGATATTAAAAAATTGAATAACCACCGAATTTTTTTTCTTTCTTTTTCACTCTTAGTATGAAAAAAATTATATTTTAAAAAAAAAAGTTAATCTTCAAGTTATTTGAAAAGAAATTAGGTTTTATGATTTGAAAATGAATGGGTTTTGGGAAGAAGATGAAATGATAGGTTTTGTGATATGAGAAAGAATGTGTTTTGGGAAGAAGATGAAGATGAAAGGGGATTGGGTAGGGGTGGGGTTGGGTAGAATAGGTTGACATTTTCATTTTTTTCTTTTTATTTTTTAAAAAATTAGATATAAATGTGTTTGAAATAATTTTAAACAAAATAATTTTTTTTATAATTTTCTGGTCCCAGTGCCACATGTTATTTTTTAATTAGCTGTTTTGCCATGTCACCGCAAGTATATCACACACTCTTCATATTTTTTGCTGATTATCAAAAAATGCCTAATAGAAATAATTTTTGAATAGGTAAAAGTGTTCAATAGGTACTAGTCTTAGTTGAGGTGTCTAAGTGAATTATCCGGACAACTTTAAGGGGCCGCCGATGACTTAAGCCAAATTTTAATTAATAAGAAATAGTCTATGTATAACTTATCTCATTATAACTAATTCGAACATAATTTATTCCATTATAACTAATTTTATAAGTTAATCAAATGATCCTGAGAATATTCTTATTGAATGAATTCAATGTCCAAGCTGAATGTCCACTAAGAAAAAATGTTTGTGTTAGTGCATTCTATCTCCCTTGTCAGCATCGATGTATTATATCATATTTTATGTTTAACTGGTTCCAGGTATTGATCTTACTTATCTAAGAAAAAAAGGTGCCCACTTAATTCTTTTAATAATTTAAATTGGTTATTATTGTTTCATTTAGGAAATAGTGAACCTAAAAATAGACATAATTCGATTAATGGCAGAATACCTAAAACCCCTTAAATTTGACATGTTTTTCCACCCACATTCGAGCGTACCTTCTTATCCTAAGAGAGTGAAATACACTTGTTTGCCAAGTGAATTTTTTGTCCACAATATATTTTAAAAAAATATTTATTTATTTTAGTTACAAAAATTTATTTGGATTAAAAGAAGGAAAAAACTTCTCTTTCTTAGATTTTATTTTCCGGTCAAATTAGAAAAAAATAAAAAAATACATAAGAACTTTACCAGAAATCAACTTTTTAGTTAAAGAAAAAAAACAAATTTTCCATAAATAATGAAATTATAGACATTTCTTTTTACAGATTTTGCACGAAAAGAAAAAAAAATGCACCGTTGAAAAATAAAGTCATTACATCTACATAATATATAATAAAAATTTTACAATTTGAACTTCATTATTCTGCTAAAACTTTTTATTTCACAGAAAATGAAAGAGCTCTAACAATTTTTTTTCTCTTATAGAATTGACCTTCAAAAGAAAAAGAAAACGTTTAGGTAAATAGTTATCGTATCTAAACAAGAAAAAATGGAAATACACCATCATTGGGAACTTATTTTTCAATTTTATTCATCTTGACATGCTTAAAAGAGAGTGTAGTCACTCTTTTTCTCATATATATAAGTGTCTAGGGGGTAAAGGTTACAAAATAGACAAGTTCATGGGTAATTTATTAGACTAGTGATAATTTAGGGACTAATTGAAGAAGACACCCTAACTATAAGGTGCCTTTAAAATAAATATTGAAAAAATTACATAAATACACAACTTAATATATATCATAATCTCTAAAATTTCATATCATTTAAAAAAATTACAATTTTTTTTTCCGGATACATCCCTATTCCCTCTCGAATACATTCCTCCCCTCTCGGATACATCCCCTCTTGAATACATTCATATCCCCTCTCTGATACATCCCTACCATTAAATAATATATAATTTGCAATGTATCGGACAACCAAAAAATGTATTCGAGAACAATGAAAAATCCAAAATTTTTGTAATTGAAGAAACGTCCAGCATATGATGTAATTAGCCCCAAATGTATGAAATTTCTGTACTTTATTCTTAAATATATTTAGTGTAGGCATATATAATTGTTAGAAATGTTTGGATACCTTTTCTGTACCTGTAAATTAAGATAATTAAATAATTGGAGAAAAAGAATTATGAGTTTAATATATCATGTTGAGAAACATTTTAAAAAAGAGTTAGTGATTATGTGGTAGAAGAGAAGTGTTTGATTGTATGATTCCATTATAAGACACTCAATAATGGAGATGATATAGAGTTTAGGTGTGGAGACGTGCTTAGATAGCATTGTTTGGCGCCTATATATAGCAAGCACCACAAAATAGGGAATTAAAGAAACAAAAGATAGAAAGCTATTGAGTGGAGTATATATACTTATATACAAAAAGAAAATTAGAAGCATCATGTCATGGTTACTGAAGTTTGTGAAGGAAGGTAAACCATATTTGGCAGTGACATTGTTGCAATTTGGATATGCAGGATCAGCCATTATTGCTAAGTCTGCTCTAAATCATGGCATGAGCCATTTCACCTTTGCCGTCTACAGAAATGTCTTTGCCACTATTGTCTTTGCTCCTTTTGCCTTGCTCTTTGAAAGGTCAATTCTCAACTCACTTTTTAATCTGTATGTTTTGATGATTTGGCATGACGTTTAAGAAAGCAAAGAATTTTTTTTGAATCTTGTGATTTTAAATTAAAGTTATATCAAATGTACGAAAATACTCTTTGAATTTATAGTTTTAAACATATCATCTGAAAAGTTGGATTTAAAGTATTGCTAAAAAAGGAAAGAGTCATTCTTTTTAAAACACAACAAAAAGAAAAATATGTTATTCTTTTTTAAATGAACGGAGTAACATTTTGATATAACCTTTAATTTATTTAAGACTATAAATTTTAAAAGTATTCTTTACTTTTTATAATTTCGTTCCAAAACAAAATCACACAAACAAATTGAAGCATACTCATGCATTATAGCTTCTTTTTACTTAAATGAAGTTACTATTATTGATTGTGTTAAAGGCTAATTAATGTTTTTCTGTGGTTATTTTATTGCACAGGAAAATAAGGCCAAAAATGACTATATCCATTTTCTTGAAGATTATGTTGCTGGGCTTAGTGGAGTAAACATCTCTGACAATACTTTACTTTTTTATTTTCCTTTCAACTTAGCAAATTGTCCAATATTTCACTGAAAACAAAAACTGACTTTTTTGCATGCAGGCCTGTCATCGACCAGAACTTGTATTACACAGGATTGAGATACACTACTGCAACTTCTGCAGCAGCAATGTGTAATTTGCTTCCAGCCCTCACCTTTTTGTTGGCTTGGATATTAAGGTATTTAATTAACCATCTTTTTTCCAACTTATTCATAGGTATGCACTTAATTTGTTTCTAACATGTTTGTCTTAATTCAATTCTTTTTTAGTTTGTCCGTTGTTTCAATTTATCTGAGTTATATTTTGATCTGACACGAAGTTAAAAGAAAAAAATAAAGACTTTTGAAATTTGTAATCTAAAATATATAAATCATAAATATTTGTGATTATAAATCATTTCACTAAGAGTAAAATTGATATTTTAAAATTAAATTATTACTAAATATAAAAATATATGATTAACAAAAAAAAATTAAATCATATAAACTGAGACTTTGAATTGAAACGTGTAGGCTTGAGAGGGTGAATATTAAGAGATTATCAAGTCAGGCAAAAATAATAGGAACAACAGTGACATTTGGTGGTGCGATGATTATGACACTGATTGGTGGACCTACAATTGGATTGCCCTGGACCAGACATCACCTCAATATTATTCCATCTTCTCCTACTGATTTACAACCCATTAAGGGTGCTCTTTTCATAGCAGCAGGTTGTATCTGTTGGGCCTGCTTTTACAACCTTCAGGTACTATCCAATATTATAATATTAATTCGTTTCTTTTACTTAGTATATATATACAAAAAGATGATTAGTTCTTTTTCTTATTTTTATATGTCAAACAAACAGGCAATTACATTGAAGACATACCCTGCAACATTATCACTCACTTGTCTAATATGCTCCGCCGGAGCTCTGCAAGGCACTCTTCTGACCCTTGTGGTTGAAAGGGGCAATACTTCAATCTGGGCCATCCAATGGGACACTTCATTCTTATCTTACGTTTATAGTGTAAGCTTAAACATTCTCTTAATTAGTATCAGAGACAGGGTTAGGATTAAGAGTTTGAGAATTTTGAAATTTTAGGACAGAAAAAAAAATATTAGTACAAAACATGCTTTCTTCAAAAAGGGGATTTTGAACCCACAACTCTAGCATGAAAATCATTTTCATGGCCCTTTCCTTACCACTGAGCGATCAATCATCAATTTTATTAGGGGTTCATCAATTAATATGCATATATATTAATTTAATTTTCTAATACAACTACACGATCTACAAAATAGCTAGTGAGTTCGTTCGAACCCCGAACTCCCAGTTAGCTCCACCCCTGTCTAGTATGTGTCCATATTGATATTTAGTCGGAGAGGATAATTTATTTTTTATGGATGCAGGGAATGGTCACTTCTGGAGTTGGCTATTATGTCTCTGGATTGATAATGAAGGAAAAAGGACCCGTTTTTGTTACTGCATTTAATCCTCTAAATATGGTTATCGTCGCAATTTTGGGTTCATTCATTTTATCCGAAGAGCTAAACTTGGGAAGGTATATTACATACTCTCTTTATCCTAGTTTATACGACTTACTTTTCCAGAATGCACATATTCTTATTAAATTTCGTGTCGAGTCAAACTAACTCTTATAATACGTGGTTGAGTGCAAAATAGGATGTCTAATCTTGTGCCTGTTTAATGTAGAGTTTTGGGAGGGGCAATCATTGTAATTGGACTATATTTAGTAATATGGGGCAAGAGCAAGGACCAACAATCATCAACATCATTCAGTAGTGAAGAGGCTGTTCAATCTGAATTTGTTGATCAAAAAGAAATATCAAAGTCTTCAAATCAGGCAAAAGTTGGAGATGAAGCTGTTTAAGAAGAAATGGCTAGGATTAAAGTTAGAAGGATATGTAGAAATAATAACTCCTAGTTATTGGCTTCTGGATGTTACTTTTGCATTTCTTTATTAGAGAAATTGAAAAAGTAAGTGTGTGTAGCATCTGTCTATTTATTCTGCTCATGAAATGGACCTCCAATATTTAAATAAATACATGTAAGGTGCTAAACTAAGTAACCACTAAAAAAAAGAAGATAGAAAAAGATAAAGGGTGTGACAAATAGAAAAAGAGAGAAAATATTTTTGAAACATCGTTTTCTAATTTTCTCATGATCGGCTGGTCAAATCTTATAGAAAAACATTTTCTCTTGAAATAAATCTATCTATATATAAAAGGAGAAGAAAAAATGACACATGTCAACACAACAAAATTTTCAGAAATTTAAATAATTTTAAATAATTAATAATTAAATAAATAAATATAGAAATATAGACACATATCAATAATTAGAATAAGAATGACACATGTCAACAATACAAATTTTTATAATTATAAAAAAAAATTAAATTAAAAATTGGTTACTGTTTTTCAAAATTTAAATTTTTTACAGTTATTTGAAACAATAGAATTTCATTATATATATATATATTTATTGTTTTTTTTTTGTTGAAACAAGCAAAATACGCTCTCTGCAATTTCTTAGTTCATGGCTATGTTTCTATTTGCATTTCCTTTGGGTGATTTTAGTGTTGTTTGAATATTTTTTTTATGATTAGTTAATGAAGAGAAGATTTCTTGGCTTAGAAGAATATTCAGAAAGAGATGTAGACGACATTGATGTTTTTTCTAAGATAAGTTTATAGTTTCTCCTATTAATCGAGAAGAGTTTGTTTAATTTTGTTTAAGATAAGAAGTATGTTTTATACTATCAATGTGCTTATTTAATTTTGAAAGGAAATATGTTTAACTTTTGTTGTATTATAGTTATGTTGTCGGTTGATATGAATACTATTCTACTTTTTAGATCTTCATAAAATGTACCATGATATAGTAACATGAAACGATCTGAATTTTGAATTTGTTCGACTCTCAATATTAAAATGTGTTTTTTAACGAAATTAAACAATTAAACTTTAATGTTCTAGGTGTTCTTTTAAGTATTTTGGGATCATTGTACGTTCATTGCACTTAAGTGATTGCTCAACCAATATGTTTTGACATTGAGAACATATTCTCAATTCCGTTGATGTCTTTCTTTTCTATTGAGATGGTAAATGAAAATCCATTTTGTATTAATCACTTTTATATTTGAAAAATGTAATAAAAAATAAATAATAGTTTCTAACACTTGAATTTCAATTTATGTTCACATAACATAAATCCACATAAAATAAGAGTTCATTTTATGTATAATATAATGCTTATACTTTAATTCTTTTTTATGATGCATGTGGTTGATTTTTTTTATAATTCTTATGCAGATTATTGATTTTTTTTAATGCAATAGAGGTATTATGCTACATGCATATCCTTATTCATGTTTCATGTTGTCTCTCACGTTTTGGTGCCTTTATTTTTCAAAAATTAAAAAATATATTGTAAGGAAAACATAAATCACGTGTTTAAAAAATTTGAATGAAATAAATTAAAAAAATCAAATAAAAATATAATAAATTATGTAACTATACATTGATATTATTATGTGAAGTTTTTCTGCTAAGATAAATAAA